CGGTGATCTTCATGTTCTTTTATTCTCACATTAAGGGATCGTTTTTGTTCGTCCTATCTATACCTAATTTATCTGATATTTTCGGATAATTAGGTAAGATAATGAGTGGGTTTAACTCAGATTTATATATTTTTTACTTCATAATATATTAATGCAAAAAAATTAGCAACACAAATGATGCAATCAGGCCTATGATATAAATGCACGTAAGGGTTACGGCATAGACACAATTTAACCTTCACAATGATTTACGCGTTGTATCGAAACTAGACGGGTCTCATTTTTGTGAATTGTCGATTCTCTAAGGGTTATAAGTTTTACCACGGGCCTGTTAATTCGATACTGAAGGTGTTTTATACTGCTTATACTATAAAAATAACAACCTGTTTGTATACAAATAAAATTGGACAAATAAACCTAGACAAATAATAAATATAGAATCACTACAAGTGACACAACACTATTTTTCATCTGGCTTGAAAAATGTAATTTATTTTACATCCATTTAGTTAGAGTTATTAAATAATGACCTGCAGTACTTGTGACGAATGCTATCGAGTGATACTTAATTTTTTAAGTTTTCTAACTTCTACAATCCATAGGAAGAAAAGAATGAGTATTGTTAGATTGGAATAAATCCGCAAAATTTGAGTCCTAATAAAGAATTTTTGGCACGATAAATATAATTTTATTATAGTCCAAGCACAATAAAAATACACAATCACTTACAGTAGTCGAATACAGTAATTGTAAAATAGGTTTACAGAGACTTAAATTGTCATTCAGAATAAACAAATATTGCATGTATGTGATATGTCTCAAGAAGTAGCAAAGCAGAATGTTATATAACGATCTGTAGTCATAACAAGGCGACAAGAAAATAACACATATACCATTTAGAACTTTTTTGTTATTTGGGTGTTTCTTTCTTTGCTAAAGAAATTTCTAAACATCAAAGAAATTTTTATATCTTTGTATTCCAAAGCTGGTAATACGACAAATCAACCACATTTAATTAATATAATACATTTACATCGCTGATATCACAATGTTAATAACATTTTGAAATATCCGTTAAATAACGCCTAACGCTAGCATATGCACTACTGCAGTGGTGGCGCTACGGCACTAAAAGATGTCACGTGGTATCAATTTTATCTCACAAAATTTTAATGAAATCACGTCGGAGAAGGGTGTAAATCTGTTGGAAAATATAATTTATGTTGGACCAGACTTAGGTCTGTTGTTGGACGAATAGAGACAGCCATTTTAAATGTTCTGTTGCTGTTGTGTGTTTGTGTGTTTTCTGTTTTTACGTTAAAGGCTACGAAAGCTTCTATAATTTACAATGTCTCAAATTTCCCTATGTTCACTATGTATGCAAAATGTTGGTCGGTACCTGCATATGGCAGACAAGGCTAGTGCGCAAATTCGAAAATAAGTGAAAACAATCTCTTTAAATAATAAGCTCAAATAACTATATCTTCGGTGAGTAATTAATATAAATAAAGTCTGGAGTTTACTCAGAACTTATAGCAGTAACTTCATCTGCCTGTTAAGAAGGAAAATAGTGAACCATAAAATTGGTATTTTGATTGATAGCATCACCTCTTTTGGAGCACCACAAGTGTCGTGTTATTCATATTTAATCCTAAAAAACAGATTCGAGTAATTTTGAAGATTAAGTAAATTCCCGACATAGGAGCGTAGAAAACCTTATTAAAAATTAACTGTGTTGAGATATGAGACAGTTAAAGATGTACCCGGTAGTTGACGGCTCAAGGCCAATGGATATTCCAAAATTGCTTAACACTTTGTAAGTAGATGTATACATGGGCGTCCTCAGGATGGGGCAAGGAAGGCTTTGCCTCCCTCCCTCCCTTCCCGGAACTTTAGAATGTTTTCAAACATTTTATTCAAAAAAGTATTATAAAATATTACTATTTAAATATAAATGACGAAATTTGATTTACATAAATAAGCCATAATCAGTCAAAGCATCGCATTCTAACTTCAAGGCAAATGCCTACGCTCTGCGCCCAACTGAGATAAATTCGACAGACGCTCATGTATATATCTATTTGTAAACAGAGAACTTAACGACGTTTTGGTAAAGCCTAGAATGAATCACAGCAAGTTGATTTTAACATCATAGTTTTGGAGCTTTAGCACCACCACTGCCTACTAATATAATTGTAGAAATGTTTATATACCAACAAATACGTGGCTTTAGTTCTCAGTTATCTTTAATGTATACAGTTCTATATCTGATAATTCTCTATACTAATATGTATTCTAGAAAAATCAGTTATAACTTATTGCACTTCAGACAGAACATATTGCTATGAATCTAAATATATGTTGATATGTACACATATATATATATATATATGATATACCTCTATCTAACGAATATATATATTTATTTATTTATATAGTCAAATTTCGATTGGAGAATTCATAAATGATACTTCGATATTCTAAAGTTCTATTACTACTTGTTTTTATTCTAAAAATCAGCACATCAATTTTCCCTAAATACAAGTGCAATTAAAATATATTGATATTTTTCTTTGTGCTTCTGGTAGGCCTAGTATACTAACTTTATTAAATATTCAGTATAATAATTAATGCAATTATTTAAGCAAAGAAAATATCTTGTCACGAACTTTAATTGAACAGTATTAAGTCACATAATTAATGTGAAACTGAAACTTTTTCAAACACATTGATATTTCGTGTATTTTTATTTAATTGTTCAAAAAGTTACATTTCATTTTCTTTCAAAACATAAAAGTTTAGATAAACGACCTTTACACTCCAGGCGTATATATATATATATCTGTTTCTTTATTGCTAAGACTCATAATGTCAGCGTATGATTCTGCAACAGAAACCATATCCTGGTTACTTGATCAACTGTTTAAACCATGTCTACAGTATGTTCCATCACACTTAACCAATACTAAAGACCTATTAGAAAAGATACACTCTTGTACACAAAGAATATGCACTGACTCCATTTTATTTTCATTAGACGTAATCGCCTTGTACCCATCTATACCCATAGAAGAAGGCATATATAGCATCATTAACTTCACATCTTCACTTGATCAACATGCTTTTCCAGGTAACATCACATTTGACACCATCCGCACAATGCTCAATTTTGTCCCACATAACAGTTATTTTAAATTTGGCGACATTTTGTACAAACAAGAGAAAGGAATAGCAATGGATAACATAGCAGTAGTCACATTTGCTATAATATTCATGCATACACTAGAAACCAAAGCCCTTGACATATATCAACACAAAACAGGTTTAATACAGATACATCGATGACATATTTGGAATCATGGAAAAGAAATACTACAGCAGTTTTACTATTTCCTAAACAACTTCCACCCCTCAGTCAAGTTCACACTAAAACTACCCAACGCAGAAGGATACTTAACGTTCTTAGACTTAACCCTAAAAATCCAAAACGGACAAATATGGAGCTCCATGCATAACAAAGAATGCAAGAAACCGATATTTCTCTGTAATAAATCACACCACCCAGAACGAGTCAAAAGATGAACCATAATAGGAGAATTAAAGAGAATAAATCGAAACTGCTCCACACCGAATGCGATTCAAACAGCACAAAATGACTTTAAAACACTGTTATAACAAAATGGATACTCTGAATATTACATCGACAGTGTTTTCAAATCACAAAAAAAACATTAAAACAGCAACAAACCCAAAACCAAAAAAAGACTTGCACGAAAACGCCAAAAATAAGCATTCCTTTCAAAAACGATACAATCACAAACAAGATTCGTAAAGTCATAAAACAGTATCAACTGGCAAACAACGTAACACAAAATCAGGTAAACACTGAAAGAACTATTTGTTCACTCTTCATTCTCACAAACAAAATGTACCAAAAAACAACGTTACACAAGAGAAAACGGAGCAGGACTATTGTGCCACATCAAAAACGTCGTCTATCAAATCATTTGTAATATATATGTGTGGAGACACATATATAGGAGAAACCGGAAAACATTTCCACACACGCATCTCAGAACACATCAATGCACTACATACACACGACCAACACAAAACCGCTCCAGCAGAACATTTCCTACACAAACCAGATCCCCAAACACAGAAAACTAGAACCCATTTAAAGTTTGTATTTTACAAAGAAAAACAAAGATTTTAAAGAGAAGAAATATATAGAAGCTATACTCATTAACGAGAAAACTCCAAAAATGAACAGAGACAATGGATGGTACATGCAACTAAAAACACCATTCACAGAACAATAAATTGTATCAATACATTTTACACTTATTACTTCCAGTTGAAGACTTGCTTACTCTGAAGTACCACACAGCCTTACAATTAGTTTTAAACATTGCTAGCAAATTTCGAATCCTTTCCACTTACTATTGTTTCTTAGCAACTTCTATTGTCTGTCTGTGTGTTTTCAGTTAATCATAAAACATAGTTCGGTTCTCTTTATTTTTATATTTTATTTTAGTAATATATGTCATATGTTAGTATAGCTATGTAATATAAGTATACTATATTAGAACAATAATAAAACAACGGTGATATTTTATACATTGTTGGAGACATGTGCGACAGACTCGAGAGATGGAACATCGCAATCAATTTGATATTTTAACGTATACTTCAATATCAAACAGTTTGTATGTACTGACCCTGAAGAAGCTGTAAAAGCGAAACTTCTGTAGTAATAAAAAAACAAACAAATATATATACATCTGGAGTGTAAAGGTCGTTTATCTAAACTTTTATCACAATGTGTAAATCCCTCCAGTATGCACTACAAACTTTCAAAACATAAAACGATTTGATATTATTTTTTGATATATTTTATCTTAACTTTCAAAGAACAGGATTCCTTTTTTATTTTCACAATATAAAGTAATATCTTATTTTATTATTCAATTTTCGAAAGATAGGTTTTAAAAAATATTATAATGTATTTTCTTCTACTCTCCAAAGTAATTCGTAACTTTAATAACATTCATAATTGTCTACAAAAAGAAAGAAAGAATATTTTAGTTTCAGAGAATTTCCTGTTTTTTATTATCTTCGAAAGAACGGAACAACGTATTTTGTTTTGTATAGGGAAACTTTTATTCGTGACGATGTCTGTTAAAACAGTTAGGCCAACTTGTCACAAATTAATCTTTTAATATGTTATGCATTGTATTATTGTTTTTATGAGACGTAGGATTTAAGCAGGAACGGTTGATTACCCGAATGTGGTTTCTACTTTCTAAATTCTAACACTACTGAAGCCACATCATCAGAAGAAATATAATATGTTAATCTATAAAATATTGAATACACCGATTTCGACCGTATATAAGCTTCAAAATTTGCAAACGTGATATACCGATATTTATTTAACTTATAGGTCTGTTGAACTTCTTCTTTCAATTAAAGCATAAAAGGGGAAAATATAAGCATTTTCAACACGTCACTAAAATAGCTTTAACATATTTACGTAAACTAATTGTACGTATAATCATAAATACCACACACAATATAGCGTAGGTTTCTATTCTACTGCGCATGAATCTTACTCAGAGCTGTTGTTACAATACAGAGGTCGCCCTTCAGCTCACTCACCATACGAGCAATCTTCCTGGTATTCGAGAGTATTTCTACTGTCTGTGTGTAGGGGTTGTAGCGAATACCGAAAGGACGTTTGATGGTCTTTGCAAATTCTCTAAGCCAGAAAAATAGACAATAATAATTAATATCCATACAATATATATCTTCGAATCACTTGAAACCTTAAGAAATATAGAACGTCTGTTTAAACTTAAGAATGTTAACCAAAATCTGCTTAATCTTAAAAATATAGGCTAAACTGTAAATACATTACCAATAAAAATATTTTAAATCAGTTTGGTGGGAGTTTCTCCATGGACGAGTTAAATCGTCTAGAGTAGTGGTTCTCAAACATTTTGTTCGTGGATCACCTTATTATTATGATCATTAATCTCTGCTGACCACAAAGAGTTCGATACGCTTCCTTACCGTAATTATGAAACCTTTTAACGCACCACCTGAAGGGAGCCCACGAACAGCAAGTTGAGAACCGCTGGTTTACCAATTAACAAACACAGCCCTCTAAACCGTCAAACAGTCGTTAAAAATATTCTACTTTACAAAAGGTTGGTAGTAAGTAATTTCTGTCGAATCTCTCCACAACTGAATTCTGGGATCTATTTTGATTTTTTTTTATGTAAAGGATAAAAACACCATAATTACTTTTAAGACTTCCTCATTTGCTTTGCAAATTTATATTTAACTGACATGGTCAGTCAACTACATTACCCCTTTCTAGCCCCATACTAACTAGTAGTGCCCGGCATGGCCAGGTGGATAAGGCGCTCGACTCACAATCTGAGGGTCGCGGGTTCGAATCCGCATCCCACCAAACATGCTTGCCCTTTCAGCCGTGGGGGCGTTATAATGTGACGGTCAATCCCATATTCGTTGGTAAAAGAGTAGCCCAAGAGTTGGCGGTGGGTGGTGATGACTAGCTGCCTTCCCTCTAGTCTTACACTGCTAAATTAGGGACGGCTAGCGCAGATAGCCCTCGTGTAGCTTTGCGCGAAATTCAAAAACAAACAAACAAACTAACTAACTAGTAGCCTCAATGACGTTTAAATTATCTTCCAAAACTCAAAATACCCCATCCGCCAACAGGAATCCAGTACTTTGTTGTCTATAAATTAAGTATTTAGACTTTGTAATGACTCCTCCAATGTAAAAACTCCTAAACAGTGTTGTTTTATATATTTGGAAATAGTTTATCCAGGTAAGTTTGTTTTGTTTGTTATCAAGGATAAAGCTACACAAAGGGATATTTATGCTTTTGAGACCGTGGGTATTGGAACTCGATTTCTAATGTGGGTGGGTAACGCTAAGTTGTTGTTGTTTATATGATTATAGCTAATGATTCACTGGCTAAAAGTTATTTCTTATTCTTGAAATATTTCCGTAAATCTACAATTGCAATGACTGTCCAACAATTTTACTATAAACATTTTCGTCATAAATTATATATTACCAATAGAAATAGAAATTTTGATGTATTTATGCTGGAAGAGATTGAAAAGTCGGAGACTCCGCCACTGGTATATCTAAGATCTGGGCTCCACGCAGGAATTTTGACACAATGATATTGCTTCTTCCAACCTGAATGAAGTTGTCACTTCGAATTATTCACGACAAAACAAGCAGTTTTCTAATGCTCAGTGTACTGACCTAACTAATGCTACTCATTCACAATGAATATGGTTAAGTCACTGCAAGTTTGTTGTAAAAAAGATTTCCGTTACTTTTTTCAGTCCTTTGGCCAACGTACATAATTTTTAGATGTTTTACATAAAGTTTCTGATACTATTGAATGGTCTCGTGCACTGTAGATCGTTCGTGACAAAGTATTAAGCATTTCTTCTATCAGTTCTGCTGACTTCTAGCACCTGTGATATATTTTTTTTTCTATCCACATAATTTATATATGTGGCATTGCATTTAAACATTTCCATTAAATGTTGATGAGTGGACTTGATCCAACGTTACATAATTTCACAGTAATACGTTTATTTTTCATACTTATAGGCTTATAACGCTAAACATTGGTGTTGATACCCGTGATAAGCATAGCACAGATAGCCCACTGAGTAACTCTGTAATGAACAACAAACAATCAAACACATCTGTATCTATATTTACTGAATTATCTTGCTGAGAATGCTGATGAGCCATGCTACATGTTCAAGTTATTCTACATTAATCCTTCGTAGCACCATAAGGTGGATAACCTTAACTAATGAAATTTAAAGTAATTTTTATAGCCTAATTAAAGGTGGCATATAGGTCATAAAGACTCATTTTGCCAAGTAAGCCTGTAAGAATGGGGACTTGTGTGTCATTCTAATGGCGTAGACGTAGTTTGTTTTTAATTTTAGAACAAATTAACATACTGTGAAACACAAATGTACACTTAATCTTGACTGGTACTATCCTGCCCTTAAGGTATTTCTTATACACTATAAGTCTAATCCAGAAATATATCCAGGCTTCATACATGTTGGCTAATGTTGGTGATTTCTTGGGCTGGCCTGAGCTGACTGATGACATGGCAGTCAAATGAGGAGATGAACGTGTTGCAATATCTGTTCTCTGACGTTGGATTAGACAGACAGTGCATGTGAAAGGCATGGTTGGAGTTACAGAAGGGCACACCGATATCATATAATCTGGTTTGTTGTTTCACATTGCTAGTACACGGTCTCGTATAGTATCCACAAAATAGCTAGTCAGATTAAAACCACAATGATCGAGACTTTGAATAATTGTCTAAAACATAGCGCTCTGTTGAATAAGAAATATCTTGAGAAGGAAAGAATTGTGGTTGTTGTTTACCCTTATTAACCTTACGAAACAATGAACCATGATATATTTAGCAGGTACAGGTTCATTACTAGCTGCAGGTGTACTGAACTGATCAGTTGGATAATATTATACCATACATATATAAAGATAGTAATTAAAACAGTGTGACACAAGTGTGAGCAAGAATATACTAAAGAATCCCATTTATTCAAAGTATTCTGTTGTATTATTGTCAGTTCCGAATTAGCACATGTGATTGTCTACCATTGTAGCCCAAATATTGAGCAGTTTTCACATGATACTTCTTGAAGCTATAACCACAACATCACAGTGCATGTGTGTATATATATATATTGTAGCGTAATGTTTCTGTTGTAAAGCTATTATACTGTCACCAAATGTGTTAAACTTTATGTAACATCAACCTGCACAGCTAAATTACTACTCTGTAAACGGCCTTACCTTACAGAGTAGTAATTTAACTAATAAAACTTACAAATCTAATACATGTAAGGCCATTTATAGAGTAGTAATTTATCTGATAAAAACTTACAAATCTAATACATATAAGGTCATTTATAGAGTAGTAATTTATCTAATAAAACTTACAAATCTAATACATATAAGGTCATTTATAGAGTAGTAATTTATCTAATAAAACTTACAAATCTAATACATGTAAAGCCATTTACAGAATAGTAATTTATCTAATAAAACTTACAAATCTAATACATTGGCCTTACATGCATTAGATTTGTAAGTTTTTGTTAGATACTACCTCATTTTCTCTTTGGCCTCTTCAAAACTACCAGTGCAGAAATAAGCTTCTTGAAATGACGTAATAATGGGTTCTTGCTGACAAGTTCGCTCGGGGTCAAACGGTAGAACCTTAGCATTCGGTGACAATGCATGCTAAAGAAGGAAATCACAGAAAAATTAGTTTTTCCCTCTAACTAAACAAATTCTGAAATATATTTTACAGTTAGTGAATAAATAGGAATATTTTTGCGAATGAATCTGAACTAAGTTTAATTATCTTCCTACAGTTTTATACATAAATTCAGATAATCGTTTGATTAGCTTATCATTCATATTTTCAAGACTAGTGGAAAACCAGATTTTAAATAAGTAAGATATGAAACTGACCTGTAATTCGGCGATTGAGGAGAGAAGACCAGCACCATACACTCGCGTCTCATTGTTCTGTTTGCAAAGTCCGAACTCCACAGTGAAGAAATAACACTGTCGGAAAATAGAAAGAAGTTTCTTTAAAATTCCTTTTTTTTTATTAAATTGAGTTTGATTAATGAAAGACGCGACAATAATGACACAACTAACAAGAAAAAGAAAGATAGTAACAGACAAGAAAGGACCGGCATGGCCAGGTGGTTAGGGCGCTCGACTCGCAATCTGCGGGTCGCGGGTTCGAATTCCCGTCACACCAAATATGCTCGCTCTTTCAGCCGTGGGAGGTTATAATGTGATGGTCAATCCCACTATTCGTTGGTAAAAGAGTAGCCCAAGGGTGGTGATGACTAGCTACCTTCTAGTCTTTCACTGCTCTCATGTAGCTTTGCGCAAAATTCATAGCAAACAAACATTTCAGACATCGTGGTAGAGTACCAATAGCGAGATAAACATCAAGAGATCAGTCGTGACATTGCAAACATCATGATGAGAGAACACTAACCAGACAAACATCAAGATATAATGGTGACATTGAACAAGTCATAATAAGGTAAAATTAACGAGCAGAGATAAACATCAAGAGACCACAAGTTAAATTACAGGCGTCATGATGGTGATATACCACTAAAGAGAAAAACATCAAGAGATCAATGGAGATATAGCACACATCATAATAAGGTAACTCTGACAAGATAAGCCTCAAGAGAGGTGTCATCATGGTTATGATGTCTACGGTTTCTGAACCACACAGTTTATATGTGATCTTCTTAGTTCAGCCTGATATTCAAAGTCTGCAATAAATAGGGCATCTTCCCACACATCTTTAAATTACTACAGTAAATAAAATAGCTAAATTTGTCGACTTTATTTGTTATACAAGACATAATATCACCAAAGTTATGAGTAAATTGTCACAGTAATTTTTTTGAATCATTCATAAACACAAGTTTGAAAGGATATCATAATTAATTTTCAAAAACATTAAAAAATCTTACTGTTGCCAGTTTATCCACTTCATCATCCGAGGCTCCTAGTGATGCAAGACCAATCTCTTGAGAAAACTGAGAGAAACTATCGTCTGCCAGAAGGGGCACGTGACCCAGAAGTTCGTGACAGCAATCACTTACAAGAAGGAAAGAAGAATATTGTATTAAACCTTAGTAAAAGTAAATACCTTTACTAGATTTCCTTATGTCTAAATCCTTGTAAAGTATAAGCTTCTTTTTTCTTATTATACCGAAAAACTTTAGACACATTTGCTTTTTAACAAAAAACAAAATAAAAGCAAATTCAATTTTACTTAATTTCAACAAGGAAGCTGGAACACGATCTGAAATATTATGTATGTTTAGGAAGAATGATGTGCACTTTAAAGTGTAAAAACTGAATGTTACACATTTTGATTTGAATTAGTTTACATCCATTGTCGTTCCTACTTTTCACTCCTTTACTCTTCATATTAATTCCCCATATTGCACAAACGTTTGTGTAGTCCTCACTCCAGCTTTCCCTAAGTGAGAAGGGAGTAGTGAGACATATAATGGCAACAATTCTGACCTAAAACTACAATTAGACTAACGCTCTACATTAGCTTGAGGGTGGGCCAACGACATTTTAGGTCGACCTCCTCCCGCCAGGGTCAGCCTTTCGTCTATTACTTTAACCTTAGCGCGTTTACTTTTGCCCTTTTTTTTTGAACAATTAATTTGATTCTCTCTCGATGCCTTGCTGGTATTATACAAAGGTAAACCTTCCAGAGTTGGCATAATTATTGGATTTCTTATTTTATGGTTCAATTAATTTTTAAACCTGTGATTTTTAGTATGATGAACATTTATTTCTCTTTTTTTAGCAAAAAACGTTTTAACTTCGCCTATAATGAAACAAATCAATATTAAAATAATCCATATCTGTTTCAACAACAACAAAAACGATGATATGAAACATTAATTTTACATGTTGGGTGTAAACAGTCGGTTATTTCCCTGGTACAGAAAGTTGGGCTTAACTATTTTCGTAAATAAAACTCGTATGCTAATTTGTAATTTCCAAGATAAGATTAATAGAAATTGATATAAGGTCTGATTTTGAAATTCTCATGATTGCCATGAATAACTGAACTATGATGTTTAAGCTGTATAATTTATTACTGTTGTTTAAATATGATGATACTTACGGTTCGGGAGTATAAAAAGGATCCGAACTGTGACGTATATACTGCGTACAATGGAATACACGAAAAGCTAGACCAGCCAGAAAATCGCGTGATGACAAATAGCCGGCCACAGGTCGAAGGTGAAATCCTGTCCGTCCTTGTATCAAAAGTAATCGTAATTTTTTGGTAAATATTCTATTCAATGCTTACATTCTACTAGTGAAAGTAGGAAAAAATTACAGAGTTTTATTACTACAAAATACATTCCCGATTATAAAGAGAAAACTTCGCAGGTTCTTTGATTATTGTTAAAACAATGCTTCTCAGGTTCTAAGGGTTGTTTTACTGGTATAGTTCACAGGCTCTTAGATTAGTGTTATTGGTATAATTCACAGGTTCTTAGGTTAGTGTTATTGGTATAGTTCACAGGTTCTTACATTAGTGTTACAGGAATAGTTCACAGGTTCTTAGGTTAATGTCACAGGAATAGTTCACAGGTTCTTAGATTAGTGTTACAAGAACAGTTCACAGGTTCTTACATTAGTGTTACAAATATAGTTCACAGGTTCTACGATTTGTGTTACAGGAACAGTTCACAAGTTCTTAGGTTAGTGTTACAGAAATGGTTCACAGGTTCTTAGGTTAATGTTACCGTAACAGTTCACAGGTTAGTGTTACAGGAACTGTTCACAGGTTCTAAAGTTAATGTTACAGATGAAACCCACAGGCTCTAGGATTAGTGTTACAGAAATAGCTGACAGGTTTTAGGTTTATTGTTTCATATTTCACTTACATTATTTTAAGAGAAAATTATATTATTTTTGTGTTGAATTAAGTCGATATGTTAATAAGTTATGATTATTGTAGTCTGAATAAACTTCTTTTTTTCTATTTCATACTTAAACTTGGTAATTATAATCAAATAAATTTGTGTTACGACATACGTTTCAAGAAGCAGCTAACATCCTCCAACTGGGGAATATTATCCTCTCTGAAAATAAAAATGTTAGTTTTAACTTTCCATAACTTTATAAAGACCATCGTGTAAATTAACATTTCATTAAAACTTTTAAAATATGCTCACATCTTTCAAGTGTGTATTTTTAAAATTACTAAAACATCTAAAAACTATCAAGCAATGATCATTTTAAAGTAGAGTAACGTGGTAAAATTTATTAAACTCGATGTTTTATTTTTTATTCAAAGTTAAGCATACACATAGGGTCCACGTTGTAAGAAATTATAATTCCCAATCCCAAGCTAGTGAGCCGCCAAATCTGTTAAACAAACAATTGAAAAATAATAAAACAATAAAAAACGAAAAGGCAGTCAGAAGCTAACAAACATCCATCAAAACTATTAGTATCTACTAAATTCCGATTTTTCATTTTAAAACATTCTAAACTTAAGCTCACACATCCGAGCGTGTACTGAAATACTGATAAGCATCTAGTGTATGAATGGTAGTAACTGATATTTCTAATAAACAACAGGTTTTTTATGATAATATTTATAGTTTTTACCTACCTATAGCCACAATATTTAATGAGAAGGTTGAAGTTTTCCAGAAACTCTCTACAAGCGTGGGTTGGGTACAGTGCCTTTAGATGTTTAAAAACTCTCCCCCTAGAGGAATCAAGATAAACATCTCTGTGTGTGAAATTACACACAAGTGAAACGTCGTGCTTTAATTTTCAGATTTTAAATTTTGAAACCAAGATACAAATTTATCACAACATCCGATGACTGTCGCTGCACAGAAACTAAATAAAACGAATTTGATTAGTTAGGCTTCAAGTTATTTTGTTAAATCCAATCCACCCGTATCACACAGCGATGATTAAAATAAACGTAACTAAAACTTAAATCTAAACTGCAATCATTTGATATTCTTCTCAATAATAAATGTATAAAACTAAAAAGTAACACTTAAATTCCTGAGTCTTTCAACTACAAATTAAATGAACCTTAAAGTTTCTGAAGTTGCCTTAAAAATAATGTAGTTACATATATCTGTATGATAATACTGTCTGTTGTTTGTTGTATGTCCATATAACTACTTCGCAGGATGTGGATGGATCTTCCCCCAAATTGGTATGGAGGTTCATTGGGTCCAGTTTTCTATTTTGCGGTTTTTATGGCCGTTTTCGCGTTTTTTACCACTACTTCGCCCCCTGTTGGTGGATCTTCATCAAATTTGGCATGAAGGTTTGTTGGGGCAATGGGAAAATACATATAAATTTGCGGTTTCACTTTTTGTGTTTTACAGTTTTTATGAATTTTTGCGTATTTTATAATTACATGTAAAGAAAGCAACTTTTTCATATCATAAGATAAACTTTCATTAATCATGAATTTACATAACTTCCATCAAGGGGACAGGTACTCCATTTATTTGTTAATAATTAAGGGTTTCCGTGTAGTTACATATATTGTTAATTATTAAGGGTTTTAATGTAACTATATACACTGTTATTAGTTAACGGGTTTTAATGTAACTATATATATACACTGTTATTAGTTAACGGGTTTTACTGTAACTACGTACATTGTTAACAATTAACGGATTTTAATATAACTACATATACTGTTAATAATGAAGAGTTTTAATGTAACTAAACATACTGTTAATAATTAAAGGGTTTTAATGTAACTACATATACTGTTAATAATCAAGAGTTTTAATGTAACTACATATGCTGTTAATAGATAAGAGGTTTAATGTAACTACACATACTGTTAATAGTTAAGAGTTTAATATAACTACATATACTGTTAATAGTTAATGGTTTTAATGTTACTACATATGCTGTTAATAGTTAACAAGTATCATTGTAACTACATATACTGTTAATAGTTAAGGGATTCAATGTAACTACATACACTGTAAATAGTTAACGGGATTAAGTGTAACTACATATGCTGTTAATAGTTAAGGGTTTGAATGTGACTACATATACTATTAATAGTTAAATGGTTTTAATGTAACTACATATACTGTTAATAGTTAAGGGTTTTAATGTAACTACACATACTGTTAATAGTTAAGGGTTTTAATGTAACTACATATACTGTAAATGGTTAACGGGATTAAGTGTAACTACATATGCTGTTAATAGTTAACGGGTTTTAATGTAACTACATATATATTGTTAGTAGTTAAGGTTTTGATGTAACTATATATACTATTAATAGTTAAGGGTTTTAATGTAACTACATACACTGTAAATAGTTAACGGGATTCAATGTAACTACATATGCTGTTAATAGTTAACGGCTTTTAATGTAACTACATATTGTTAATAGTTAAGGGTTTTAATGTATCTACATACACTGTAAATAGTTAACGGGATTCAATGTAACTACATATGCTGTTAATAGTTAACGGCTTTTAATGTAACTACATATACTGTTAATAGTTAA